GAGTGAGATTGAGGGAGTATATGATAGAGGGAGACAGGGAGTATCAATTTATCAAATAAGGATGCTTTTAATCTAATCACGAATCTCTGATAAGTTGGGCCATGCCACTAAACGCAATACTTTGATAACTTTTGAATTGAAAAAAAGCCAGTATACACTACTAAAAATGAAACAACGTAATGTAAACATAATTGTTTTAGTTTAAATAGACTAGTATGAAATTAGTGCGAGTATGATTTAGGTTTGAAAGTTCTTTCTATAGTTAGGTCTCTTAAGCAATCTTGTGGTCTAAAAAAAAATAAAGATTTAGTGCCAAATTAGTCTAAACAGTACGTTGTGCAGACTGTGAACAAAAATATGTATGCGTTTTTTTTTTTTTTTTTTTTTGAATGAAAGGAGCCAAGGTGGCAATTTATTCAAAATAATGCGAGATTTGTGCTGGTGGGTTCGCATCCCAGTACATAGCTGAAGTTTGACTAACAACTGAAGTAGCTAAAGCATGTGCTAAATAGTTTTCTGATCTAGGAACAAAAACAACTAAACAAGAAAGTAAAGAATTAATTAAATTCCTGCAACCATCTATTGCGTAGCCAACATATGATCGATCGGTACTAGCTGAAGTAGTTAGATATTGTTTGACCGTTAAACAGTCCGTGAGTAGTTCCAAGCTTTCCTCTCCACGATTCTTTAGCCAAGACAAAGCTTCCTTGCATGCCAATGCTTCCGCCATAAGAGACGAGAAACAATTTGAAAGTGAAGAGACATAGGCAGAGATATATTGTCCGTTCCCATTCAAAAGAACTGCACCTACCGAGGCCGTATTCGTGGCATGGTGATAACTCGCATCCACATAACACCTGTGAGTGTGTTGCCCCGGCGTGGCCGTGACTGCATCGGTGTGCGGCGGTGCAAGGCTGCTTTCGGTTCCACGGTGCACGGCGCACCATGCTTGCATCGTGATGGTGGCCGTCCTTAGCGTCTTCTTCGGCATTGGCATATAGGCGTCCCAAACGGCATTGTTTCTTGCTCTCCAAATATGATATAAGATTGCAGCTGCATACACCAGACCATCAGAGTCCAAATTATCCAAAATCATATTAAACCATTCATTAAAAATATTCGTCTGGATAACAGGGATTGGGAGGTTAGCTTGCCCCCATACAGCCTTGGCATAGTCACACGTGACCAGGGCATGCATGGTATCTTCATATAACACTCCACACATAGCACAACTAGGCTCAATATCAACTCTCTTGTTCCGCAGATTCATAGTAGTGGGAAGAATGTCACTCAAAGCTCTCCATAGAAAGGTTTTCCATTTTGGGGGGATTTTGAGCTTCCATAGCACTTGCCATTTATTAAAGGGAGTAATCGTATTATCATACCTGCCAACAATACACTTATAACCACTTTTTACAGAATATAATCCTCTTGGGTCATCATGCCAATACCACGTGTCTTCATAATCTGGTGATATGGGAATTTTCAGAATTCTGGGTACATCTTCTGGCACAAAAATATCCGTTAAAATGGAAGTATCCCATGTCCCAGTCTCTTGGTCAATTAATCCAAAAACTCGTTCATTAACCAGTTGTGGTGGCATTTCTGTTTGAATCATTAAAATATGTATGCGTTTAGTATTACTATTTAAATAAATGTGTTTTAGGTTTAATTAGTAAAATGGTAATATATGATTATCAGTTTATCACTATACTATACTACATATGACACATTAAAATTTTCTTGAATAAATTGAAACTAAAATGATATGATTTGACATCTACTCCATAAAATATTGTGAAGTGGCCAGCCTGATATTTAAGTTGGGGTCAATTATCCACTTTTAAATTATCTTTTGTGGTAAAATTAGAGTCTTAGCTTGTGTGTCTGATGATCAATCATTTTTTACTCTTTGTTGTGAGGGTGGTGCGTGCAGTGACAAGAAAGACTGCCTATATTAAAGAGATCAGAGTTTTCCCGTATTTGATAAGATTCAAAGGGAATTAATAAGAACCCAAAGTGAAAACTGTCGAAAGTGAGAATCGTCTACTCGCCCAATATTGGCATAACGGAGGAGACGACTTAAGTAAGGGTTATTTGGTGCTTGATAAGGTCCGCAATAAAATCATTCAAAGGGAAAAAGGCTACCTGCTAGTGTCAATGACAAATTATATCGTGCACTAGGACGCACAATGCATTGTGCACTCTAGTACTCAAAACAATGTCGTTTTGACCATTTTTTTTTTTTTAGAAATTCTGTTTCCCGTTTCTACCGTTATAAATTCAGAAAAAAAAAAAAAACTCTCTGTTTCAAATGTACATAAACTCATAACAGAATACACATAATCTAACATGACACATAATACACACAAACTCATAACATAATACACATAATCTAACATAATAAATAATACACAAACTCATAACATAATACACATAATCTAACATAATACATAAGAGGAAATTTCAATTTTGGTACACTGACTATTGGAGTTGTGTTAATTGCAACACTTGACTTTCAAAAATGTTAATTTAGTACCTTGATTATGCAATTTCTATCAATTTTAGTCACACCGGCTAAATTGTCAGCCAAATCTCACCGGATAAATTTAATAGGTCAAATAATGGAGATATTTTAGTCATTTTACTCATCTTTTCTTTCTTCTCCGATGACACTACTACAGAAAATAGCTTTAACCTCGACTAAATGACCCCATTTAACCTCGGCTATCCTACGACGTCGACTAAATCGACGTTGTAAGAAAATAAATGACGTCGGTTAAAATAACCGACGTCGTACGTATTTTAAAATTAAAAAATAATGATACGACGTCGGCTAATTTGGCTATTAGCCGACGTCGTATCATTATTTTAAATAATATATATATATATATATATATATATATATATATATATATATATATATATATATATATATATATATACACGACGTCGGCTAAGCCCAATAGCCGACGTCGTATGTATTTAATTTTTTTTTTAAATGATACGACGTCGGCTAATTGGCTATTAGCCGACGTCGTATCACTATTTTAAATAATATATATACATACGTCGGCTACTCCAAATAGCCGACGTCGTAAGTATTTATTTATTTTTTAATTTATACGACGTCGGCTAATAGTCAATTAGCCGACGTCGTATCATTATTTTAAATAATAAATATATATACAACGTCGGCTATGCCCAATAGCCGACGTCGTATCCATTTTTTTTTTTATACAGAAAATGTTTTATGCTTTCTAGCCAACCTGCTGTGCAATCAGAACCTGTGCAGCTAGTTACATTCAGCATCAACATCAACTAATTCAAACTACATACTAAACATGAAACTAATTAAGCACAATGCAACAAAACTACATACTAAAACTAAAATTAATATAAATAACACAATGCAACAAAACTACTAATTAACATCAAACCAATAAACACAAAGTAGTTTTAAACATAAACTAGTATCAAATTAACAACGTTTTATTAACCCATTCATCAATAAGAAACTTAGACCATTTGTCTCTAACGTCATCAATCTCTTGTTTGTTGTAGGGCAATCGTCCTTGGTGGCGGTGAGGCGATGAGATGATGAGAAGATGAGGGTTGAAATGATTCTTCGATCTGATCTGTGTCTTCGATTTTACGTATTAAATGAAATGAGTATACGGCGTCGGCTATATACGTAGCCGACGTCGTATACTATATATATATATATATATATATATATATATATATATATATATATATATATATATATTTTTTTTTTTTTTTTTAATTCGAGTATACGGCGTCGGCTATATACGTAGCCGACGCCGTATACTATATATATTTTATTTTTTATTTTTTAATTCGAGTATACGGCGTCGGCTTTATACTCGCCGACGCCGTATAGTATATTTATTTTTTTTTATAGGATATACGGCGTCGGCTTTATAAATAGCCGACGCCGTATAATATATTTATTTATTTTTTTTTTTATATTATAGATATGGTGTCGGCTATACCAAAAAGCCGACGTCATATGTGTTTTTAAAAAAATAAAAATTAAATTTAAATATTTAACGTCGGTTTTTAGAAAAACCGACATTATAATGGCGACGTTAAATCCTTTTTCTGTAGTAGTGTGAGCTTCTCTCCATTCTCCATTTCCGGCAACGATTTCTTCTCCGATGAGCTTCTCCACTTCTTCTGCTTTCTTGTTTTCTTTCCCTATTACTTTTCTAGCCGGTTTTAGCCACCGGAGATGAAAGAAAAACGTTTATGCGCACATATTTACAAACTTCAGTAAACCGCATAGTCACTAATTCAGAAAAATAAACCATTTTTGCAGAAACTAATAATACAACGGTCAACTGAATGCAAAAGAAACAAATGAATGCAAAACTAGTAATACAAAGGTCAACTGTACTAAATCACCAGGGCTGCTTGGTCTAATAAGCCGAAGGCTCCATATTGGCTTTGTTCCAAACAAGAATGATAGAGATCTCCAACCCACGACTGAAAGCTCGGTTAAATAGTATGCGAGACTGGAAGGTAGAAACAAACGGGAACCAGGACAATATTGCAATAGGAGCAAAGATAATCATTCCCATTCCAGCATCATACATTCGGGCAAACTCTTTTACCGAATCCCACATTATCCACTTAGTACACGGCGAAGAAATATTGGGAGAAGCTCATCGGAGAAGAAATTATCGCCGGAAATGGAGGGAAGCTCATTGGAGAAGAAAGAAAAGATGAGTAAAATGACTAAAATATCCTCATTATTTGCCCTATTAAATTTTCCGGTGAGATTTAGTCGGCGTGATCAAAATTGATAGAAATTGCATAGTCAAGGTATTAAATTAACATTTCAAAAAGTCAAGTGTTGCAATTAACACAGTTCAAATAGTCAGTGGACCAAAATTGAAATTTTCTATAAAACATAATACACATAAACTCATAATAAATAGTTAAGTGTTAGGGTTTTAACTTCAATTTAGTGTCTATCCTAATAACTAATTAAGTGTGCAAATAAAATATAAACCAGGTTTTAATTAAATGTGGCATGCGTCTTTTTGCCAACTTGTTTAAGCAATATAAATAGGAGGGGATAGGCTGTATGGACTCAAGAGATACCAAACAAATCAGAGAATTGAATCAACTCAAATATTGAGAGATGGAAAAGGTGATATTATTATTGCTGCTCTTCTCTCTCAACTCTCAACTAACCATGGGAGAAGGAACTGTAATAACAACAGGACCTATTCCAAAAATCTGCACTAAGATACTCAACCTTGCTGACAAACAAGTCAAACCTCTTGGCGCCGATGATGGTAAGTGCCGGCCTATAAATATTCTTTTTCATTAGATTACACACACCAATATAATATCTGAAGTTTTTTTTTTTCTTGATATTTTAAATTAACTATATAGTATTTAATTTTTACTTTCAAATATAACATGTCATATATTTTTTTAATATTTTTTTTTTAATTTGTCATATAGACATATACGCTTATAATTATACTGGACGTAAATTATTGAGAAATTATTTGATACCAGTAATAATTGACAAACTAAAATGTTATGTATTGATTATTTATTTATTTTGTTTCTCTCTCACATATGCCAGAGAACGTCATTCTTGAATTGCTTGGATGTGAGACGATGACTTATAGCACGAATTGTAAATATGAAAGTCCAGATAGCGTTACTTGTGACTGCAGTCTCGATAAGGATGTTTGTCGGGTGACAGAAATGTAGTATATATATTCATTTTATTTTAATAGTTCAAATAATTCTTACGATTTTCTTGTTTACATGCATTTGGTTAGCAAACTAAATGTGGGGAGTGACAACTCTAGCTAAGTTGGTTAAGCTATTGATTTTATGATTATAAGATCACAAGTTTGCAATTGACTTGATAATCATAAGGTTACAAGTTCAACTCTTAGCGGAGTGGCCTATTGACCTTCTTAGGCTACTTTATAACTAGTACACATCTGAGTTTCCAACTTTTAGCTTGAGCTACTAGATTTTTAGATTTCAACTAGCTATTTATCTATATTTGCCAAACAGAGTCATAATCTCTAACGTTATTATAATTATTTTATTAAAAATAAATCATATTTAATATTTTTTTAAAAAAAAAAATCTATGAACCATAACTTCATCGGGAGATCTAGCAAGATTGAGGATGGTATCAAGGCAAAATATCTTCTTCGTGATGAGAAGGTGATTTGAGTGATGCTAGTCAAGGACAAATGAGAATAAATATAGGGAAAATGACACTTTTTTCCTTAAATTATACGTTTATATTTTTTTCTTTTATTTATTCATGTATTCACATTAGTTCCTTCAATTATTTTGAAAGTGGCGAATTTGTTCTTATCTGTTAAATGAGTTTGTGGACCGTTAAAAATAAAAACAAAATAGGTATTTCAAGTTATTTTTCCTCTCCAACAAATTATTGCTTCACTCTCCAACAACCATTTACAAATATTACAATTATAATTTTAAGCTAATGATAATAACATAATTAGGACTTAAACACAAAATTAGCACTAAAATAATGAATTATTTGTGTTTAAGTCATAATTCTGTTACTAGCATTAGCTTAAAATTATAATTATAAAATTGGTAAATAATATCTTTTCTTTTACGCATTTATTATGATTCTCACATATAAGTAATAATTTGTTGAATAAGAAAAATAAATGAAATACCTATTTACCCTTAACAGAAATAAGAAAAATTGTCACTTTTAAAATAGTTGAGGGGCTACTGTGAATATATGAATAATTCATGGAAGAAAAATGCAATAAGCATATAATTTAGGGGAAAAAAGCGTCATTTTCTTATAAAAATCATTATATATATATATATATATATATATATATATATATATATATATATATATATATATATATATATATATATATATATATATATATAAGTGTATTCAAATGAGGACAACTATATTATAGAGAACTGTGAGGACAGATGTAGTCGTGAGTCATTAGCCTATATATCGTGTGCATGGCCAAATGTAATCGTGTGCCATAATTTGTATGTTGTGTGCATATGTTTGTTAATTAATAGAGCCTGGGTTCGAAACCTGATGTTTACATGTATGCTTGTGTGCCATTGTGTATTAAATTGAATTGTGTGCATGATATTAATTTGTCGTGTGCCCAAAATAATCTGTCCGCACAGTACTCTATATATTACTGTCCTCACACACACACACACACACACACACACACACACACACACACACCTGGGTTCGAAACCTGATGTTTACATGTATGCTTGTGCGCCATTGTGTATTAAATTGAATTGTGTGCATGATATTAATTTGTCGTGTGCCCAAAATAATCTGTCCGCACAGTACTCTATATATTACTGTCCTCACACACACACACACACACACACACACACACACACACACACACACACACACACACACACACACACACACACACACACACACACACACACACACACACACACACATATATATATATATATATATATATATATATATATATATATACACGCCCAGGAGGGAATATGTGAACAAATTAGCGCGCAACACGTGTCCAGATCTAATGGATTAAAAAAAACGCGGTGGCATTGTTGTAAATAATTGAACATCGAAGTGCAAGTAAAATGTATTACAAGTGCATGTAAAATGTATTATCGGTGCATGTAAAATTTACATTGAGCATCAATACAAAGTGCACCTATAGTTATAAGTAGTTGCACCTATAGTTATACGTAGTTGCACCTATAGTTATAAGTATGTGCACCTAGGTGCATGAATGTTTGTGGAAAGTGAATGTTAACAAGGCAAAATTACATGCACTTATAGGTGAAAGTAGGTGCACCTATAGTTATAAGTAGTTGCCGCAATAGTTATAAGTAGTTGCACACATAGTTATTATAAGTAGGTGCACCTAGGTGCATGAATGTTTGCGGAAAGTGAATGTTAACAAGGCAAAATTACATGCACTTATAGGTGAAAGTATGTGTACTTGTAAGTGATTTTACTTGCGCTTCGATGTTCAATTACTTACGAAAATGCCACCCCGTTTTTTTAATCTATTAGATGTGGACACGTGTCGCGCGCTGATTCGTTCGCATATTCCCCTGGACATTTATTCGCGCCTGAGTGCATCCCTATATATATATATATATATATATATATATATATATATGTATATGTATATATATATAACTGGAGAAATATTATTAAATAATTAATTCATATATCACATTTTACCTATCGTATTTACAATTCATTAGTTATTGTACATTTTCTTTCTTTGGTTATTTTCCTTAACAGTTCTGTATGCAGTAACACTAAATTAAATATAATAATGGTTTTCAAAAAAAAATTTAAATATAATAAAAAATTAATTTGTGAATAATATCAGTTAAATAGTCAAATATTATTAACTGAACGAGACACATAAAATAAAGTTGTAAAATATATAGTTGTGAGGGATTATTACTATTTTTTTTGATGGGGAATATATAGTTAGGGATTATTACTATTTGTATCTCGTTAATATTTTCTTTAAAAAAAAAAAAAAGAAAAGAAAAACTCTTTTTCTTATCATAACCTTCAATTTGTTTGTACTGTTTTTCCTAACTTTGTATTGAACTATGAACTAATGATCCAATTAGCTATTTAATCCAATAATTATTAGCTAATTGTGTAAATCTTTGACTACTACTATTGATTTTCCTGAAAATATCTTGTAGTGATTTTACAAATCGGAATTTGGAAGGCATATTACCAGAAATAATCGGAAATCTTAGAAATTTAATATCGTTGTAAGTATCCTGTATGAAATAATATATACTTTTATTACGTTTGATTTTTAATAATTATTATAAAAGTAGTTAAGATATGCGTATGTTGAGTTGTTTCAGTTGTATTTGTTATAGAAAATTGAATTCGAACAAATTTTCTGGCAAGATTCCACCATCATATGCAAATTTAAAAAATCTCAAGTATTTGTAAGTATTCTAAATTGTTTTTTTTTTTTCTTTCATTCTTGACTAAATGAAATAAGAATGATGAATATAAACATTGTTTAACAAGTTATTGTATCCTCCTCTAATTGATAGGAATCTTGGAGGCAACAAATTTGAAGGATTACTACCCCCATTTCTTGGTGATATGAAGTTGCTTTTCTTGTAAGCCAACACCACAATCCCTTTGATAGGTAGAAGAAAACATTTTATATATTACTCCAAGTTTCTAATTACCTTCTTAGTTTGAGTCAGTCAACTATGAACTTATGGAAAGTGGATTTTTTTTTAGAAAAAGGGTCAAATAAGCCCCTAAACGTAACTTTAGCTGAAAAGTCAATTAGATCCTTAAATTTTTAAAAAGTGCAATTGCATCCTTTAACATGTTAAATTGAGACAATCAAACCCAAGAACTGAGAGTATATGACCTACTATTACAGGTCATTTCAGTTCATGCATCGATTCCGGCAAAAATCCAACGACCAACGATGGCCGAAAACCGTCGCCGGTCGTCATTTACCAGAGAAAGCGACCAGTTGGTCGCCATCTCCAGTAGAAGGAGACCAACTGGCCACCATCCCCGGCAGAAGGCGACCACTGGTTGCCTTCTCCATGGAATTTCGTAATTAAAATAAATTAATTTAATATTTATTAGTTTCGTAGTGAAATTTAATTTCAATTGTTTAAGTTTTTATTATTTTATTAATAGATTATTTTGGTTACATATAGACACAAGAATGCCTTTTATATAATTATTATGATTTTTTTTTAAAAAGGAAACTGAGGATGTTTTAGTTATAGTTTTCCAAAAGGCTGAACCCCAACCCTAAACCCCCCACTATTTTAGTTATATTAAATGAGTTGAGAAATGAAGGAAAAAAGTACCAGGTTATTTGAAACAAAAATGTCTACTTTTTTTTTTTTTGGCAAACAAAATATTATAATGTCTCATTCACGTTGGTTAATAATGTACTACATTATTGTTGTTATCTATCTTTTATTAAATATTATTTTTCCAAGTTTCATTATATATATATATATATATATATATATATATATATATATATATATATATATATATGTCTTTTTTAGTTAATGGTTTTTCATAATATCTAGTTTACTACTCCATATTAGTATATAAAATTTTAATTTTTAAAAACTATATTAAATTACTAATACAAAATTAATGTAGTGTTACTATATAAAATTTAAATATTAATCTAGTGTTATAATGTATGCTATATTAAAGTACTAATAAAAAAATTAATCTATTAAATACAAATACAAAAAGAAATTAAATTTAAAATTATACAAAATGTTAAAGAAAATAAGTAGAAATTAAAAATTGGTTTAATCAATTAATAATAAATATGATAGGTAAAATGCGACAAATGAATAATTATATTAACCAATAAATAGTAAATTTCCTTAGGTAAAGTGAGATAAATAAATAATATTAAGTCATTTAATATAAAATTATCTGTTTCATATTTAATAAAATAGAATTTTTAAAATTATCTAACATGTTTTTTTTTTTTTTTTTTTGTAATGATTATGTTGCTTTTAAATGGTATATATTACTAATGTCGTGTGTGTGATTGAACTATTATATTTCTTTACTCACGTATGATTCATTTATACTTTTTTATTAGTTGGATCGGAATAAGTTATACAAATTAAAGTATTGTGCATCATTTTCCTACTTTCAAAACTTTCGATCTAATATCCTATTTATTTGTTAGCATAGTTAATTGAATAAATAAATGTAACTCTATTTGAAATGAACTTGTGATTTTCATTATAGGGATCTATCTCATAATTCATTTACAGGGCGTTTGGTTGGAAGGAAAAAATTATGAGAGAATTGAATTGTAATTCGGTAGGAAAAAAGTAATAATAGTAATAATAATCAATGATAGTAGTGTCATTTCATCTAGTTTTCCTTTCTCACATCCATTGAATTGCAATTCCCACCAATAAAATAATGTAATTTAAGGATTCAATGAATTTCAATTCAATTACAATGAAATTACATTCAACCAAACAGCCTGTTAGCGGTCAAATTCCAACTCATTTGGCTTAGCTTTCCTAAAAATCTAACATATCTGTAAGTATATGTTTACATATTCTATTAAGTATCTTTTAGCTTAGTTAATTGAATAATAAATGTAATTCTATTTGAAATGAACTTGTGATTTTCATTATAGGGATTTATCTGATAATTCATTTAGCGGTCCAATTCCATCTCGACTGGCTTCCCTAAAAAATCTAACATATCTGTGTAAGTATATGAGTAATTTATTTACATATTCTATTAAGTATCTTTTAGCTTAGTTAATTGAATAAATAAATGTAATTCTATTTAAAATGAACTTGTGATTTTCATTATAGGGATCTATCTGATAATTCATTTAGCGGTCCAATTCCATCTGGACTGGCTTCCCTAAAAAATCTAACATATCTGTAAGTATATGAGTAATTTATTTACATATTCTATTGAGTATATATCTTTTAGCTTAGTTAATTGAATAAATAAATGGAACTCCGTTTGAAATGCACTTGTGGTTCCATTATAAGGATTTATCTAGTAACTCATTTGGCGGTCCAATTGCAATTGAGTTGGCTTTCCTGCAAAATTAAATCTAACACATCTGTAAGTATATGAGGAATGTATTTACATATTCTATTAATTTGCGTATTGTTTAATATCTTCTTTTTTTTTTTTTAAAGTGTGCACATTTTCAATTTGATATCGTATTTTTAAGTCAACAAATATTATCGGTCAAAAAGTATTACATTTGACCAATACGTTTAATTTATAGAAAAATTAATAATTTTTAGTAAACTAGAAAATGTAAAGCTTGTTAGCTCACGTACATAAAAGTCTTAGATTTTTGTTTTTTAAAAGTTACATATTTGAGATGTGTCTCACGTGAAATAGTTTCTCATAAATTTTTATGCTATTTACTTGCAAATTGAATAAATAAATGAAACTCTGAATATACTTGTGATTTTTATTAGTGGGCTCTATATGAAAATTTTTTCAGTGGTTCATTTCCTACTCACTTGAGTTCCCTTGTGAATCTGAAGTCTTTGTAAGTATATGCATAATTTATTTACTCATTTTGTTAATTAACAGGCAAGAATTACTTCATCGTTAATTAGCATGCAAGTAATAATTTATGTATCTTGTTTAGTGTTTAATTTCTTTTTAAAAATTGTACTCTGCACATTTTCAATCTGATATCCGCTTGACAGATTAACAATGATTACTTCCTTTTGATAGATTAACAATGATTACTTCTTCCTAGAAAGATATTACATTTCATTAATACTTTTCACGTGATATTTGAGATTCGTCTCACGTGATATAATATCACATATGTTTTGTTTTTTATTTTTTTTTATTTTTTTATTTTTTTATACTAAATGATTGAATAATTAAATGAAACTCTATCTAAAATGCACTTGTGATTTCCACCACAAGAATCTATTTGATAATTTATTTAGTGGTTTAATTCCGGCTTAGCTGAGTTCTCATGTATATTTAATGTATTTGTAAGTATATGTGCAGTTTATTAATACTCTATAAGTCAACAATTATTAATTTTTTTTATAGAAAATTATAATTTTTTTTCATGATTACTTTTCAAAGAACAAGTGATATTTTTAGTACAACACTAGAAAACATAATACTTCATACTTGTTAGATCATTGAAAAGTATTAACTTAAAAAATATGAAAATATAATACTTGTTGACTTATAGAAAATTATTTAATTTTTTTTTACATATTTGATAATTTTTTCATGTAAGGTGGTATTACATAAGTTTTTGAGTTATTTGTTAGCTAATTGAATAAATAAATCGAACTAGGTCTAAAATGTACTTGTGGTTTCCATTACAGGGTTCTATCTGGTAATTTATTTGATGGTCCAATTCCAACTCAACTAAACTCCCTTGTAAATCTAAAGCTTCTGTAAGTATATGAGTAATCTATTTACTTATTTTGTAAATTAATAGGCAAGAATCATTTTATCTTGTTTATTACTTTTTTCTATCACATTTTACTTGTCATGTTTGTTATTTATTAGTCAAACAAACACATAAAATGAGATAGATAAAGTATTTAATTTATTTAAAACAGAATTATTCACATTTTCATTTGGATATCCTATTTATGGGTCAATAACTATTACGGAGTGTACCAAATTGTTATATCCTACTAGGGGTGTTAGCGAACATAGCTTTCAGTAAACTACTCGTGTTCGTGTTCGGTAAGCGTTCGTTTATTAAGGTAAACGAATATTAAGAAACAAAATTTAGAGCTCGGTTAATAAACAAACAGAGTCTGAACAGTCGTAAGCTCGTTTGCTAAGAGATCGTGAACAAGCTCGTTTGTGTTCGTTTAATAATGTTCGCGAACAAGCTCGTTTGTGTTCGTTTAATATTTGTTTGTATTCTCTTTGTAGTTGTGTTACTTGTTTGGTTATTTTTTGTGAACATAGATTATTTCTTGTTCACGAACGAATTGTGATCATGAACATGTTTATATGTTTGGTTATTAAGCATTCACAAACGTGTTTATGAATGTGAACGATCATGTTCGCAAATATTAATGAACATGTTCATTAACGTGCTTGTTAACAAACATGTATGTTTGTTAATTTTAACGAACCTGTTCGTGAACGTGTTCGCGAACGTTAACAAACACTAATGAACGCTTAACAAACGAACACGAACAGGATTTTCAAAAACCTTAACAAACGAACACGAACACCCCAAACACCTTAACAAACGAACATGAACAACCTCTGTTTGTTTATGTTCGGTTCGTTAACAGCCCTAATTCTACACCACGGTCCATCTTACAAGATTAACCAAAATTATATGAGTTGGTTCATGGGTGACACATTAAGTTGATACAACATTTTCATTAAATGACAAATATAAGTTCATTAAGTTAATTCTGTAAGATTATTAAGTTACTACTATAAGTTAATAAAGTCATTAATTACTACAAGTACAAAAAGTTACTACTACAAATTTATTATTGCAAGTTCATAAAATTAATATTGCAGGTTTATTAAGTAACTACGGTATAAAATAAATGGAGCTATATACTGGAAATGTACTTATATAGCTCCATAAACATAATACAGGAAATGGTAGAATAAATCTATCCGCTAATTTATTTAGCGGTTCAATTCCACCTCAATTGCATTCCCTCGTAAATCTAGCAATTCTGTAAGTATGTATAATTAATTAATTAATTTACTCATTCGATTAATTAATGGGCAAGAACCTGTTCATTCCTTCTGGTTTATTATTTAACTTCTTTTAATAGGATATCTTGTTTATATTAATTCAGGGACCTTAGTAACAATAACCTCTCTGGTCCGCTGCCCGATCAGCTTAAAAATCTAGTTTTTCTTGAAGATCTGTAAGTACATATGTATGTAAATAATATAATAATTTTGCTTGCCTTAATGTCTTCAATTTCATCACTCATCTGCTCTGCTAATTATTTCTTCAGCGATGTTCAAGGAAACAACTTGAGTGGACGACTCCCAGATTCCATTGGACAACTACAAAGCCTCATATATTTGTAAGGCATATATATATACATGCATACATACCTAGCAGTTAGCACCAAACGGAATTGATATTATGAAACTCAATTGTGATTTTATATATATTATGAGGGATGGATCCTCATTTGTTGATTGATATGATGGAGTAGGTCTCTACTGGGAAATAATTTCGAAGGTCCTCTCCCTACTACTGCATTTTCAAACTTGACAAACCTTCACGAATTGTAAGATTGAGCAAGCGAGGTTGATTATTGTAATAAATTTATTTTACACATCTTAATAAATAAATAAATAAATAATTATATATATATATATATATATATATATATATATATATATATATATATATATATATATATATATATATTGTGCAGGTATGTAAGCGACTTAGTTGGAGGAAGAGAGTCGCAGTTTCCTAATTTTACAAATATGGATTCCTTGAAATTTCTGTAAGCTTTCATTTTTCAGATACATGAATATTTGAAATGAAGCTACTACTAAACCCTAATATTTTCGATCAGGACATTAAGGAAATGTTCACTTGTTGGCCCTATTCCTGACATCATCTGGAATTTAATGAGTCTATATCTTCTGTGAGTTATTTGCATATTAAATTATTCTCTGGGCATCATATCATATCATTGCAAAAAAAATAGATATCAGCCCTCAGCACTCTAAATTGAAACTACTTATGATTTATGAACAGTTTGGCATTTTTAATTTTGATAATTTTCATTATATATATTTTCCTTCAGGGACTTGAGTTTCAATAGTTTGTTTGGTCAAATTCCAAATCATTCCACCCTGGTCCCACCCATGGACATGTAAGCAAGTTTACACAAACCTATCATATCCATTGCTTTTACAAAAACATTATATATATATATATATATATATATATATATATATATATATATATATATATATATATATATATAGAGGCGGGTTCAGGTGCGGCAGTGTCTTACGGTGCGGTTATTTCTTACGGTGCGGCAACACCAATAGTTCACCAAATATGCACCATCAACGTTAGGAAATACACCATACAAAACAGAGTAAAAACACACACCATTAGGTGTGAGTAAAAACACCATACACTGTTCGGAAATACACCATTGGGGGTGGTGAGTTATATGGTGTGTTTTTTTGAGTCTGTGGTGTAATTTTGTGATGTTTTATTACATTTCATTGGAGTGTGTTTTTATTACACTGTTGGTGCATATTGTTAACACTGTTGGTGTATTCTGGAATTTGACCGCACCGCCGCACCGTAAGACCCCGCCACATATGAGCGCTCTTCTATATATATATATATATATATATATATATATATATATTTATATTTATATATATTTATATATGTGTGTGGGTGAGATTAGTTGGGGGTTTCAAAATTGTGTGTGCATGTGGGGCATGTATTGTGTGCATATCCTAGATACGCACAACACATGCTTAATATGCACACGCGAATTTTGAATCCCCCAATTGCACACATCACATACACTCAATGCATGCTTAATATGCACATGCAAATTTTGGACTCTTAATTAATCTCATCAATAAATTAAATACTTTTTTTAATGCAATGGATTGGTTTTTATGGACTCATGAGAAGGTAGTTCTCATAAGAACATCATCATCTCTCTCTCATAAGGACTCATGGGAGCTCTCTATCTATCTATATATATATATATATATATATATATATATATATATATATATATATATATATATTGTATTGTATTTCTTATTGTGGAGTCTGCAATACATTGTGCATCAAAGCAAGCTAAGCAAGATTTGCTAGAATCTTAATTTGAGTTGTTTTTTCAGATTTCTGCGAGGAAATAAACTCAATGGAACAATTCCAACATGGATAATGAATTCGACTATGAATATGTAAGTGCTTGGATTGTGTAAGAGTTTTGGACAAGAATGTGTAGAAAGGAATTGTCATTACCATTTTCTCAAATGTGTAGCGATTTATTCTTAACTTATTATTTACTTTTCATTTAATGCAGCGATGTGTCTGAAAATTTTTTCACAAACGTCACACAAATTCAAAAGTTGAATTCAAACTCATCTAACCTGTGAGGATTTCTAATCGACTATGTTTTGATTCTTCATACTTTGCAAATCAACCATAATTTATATTGCAGGAACTTTTTCTCATCCCTTAATTCCAGTGACGGGTAAGCACTTCCTCTTCATTTGGTGGACACTCATTCCTCCCCTCAAAAAACACTAAAATGTAAATGTGCTAATTGGTTTAATTTTAACTTTGAAGTGCATGAACTTGTTTTTGTGTTCATTTTGATATTTTAGGGGTACGCATTGGGAACATGTTGGCTATAGCTGCAGCAGCGACCTAAAATACCAATGTAAGTAAAGACACATGAGAGCACTGACAGCCATAGTGTGGGAGTTATACCCAATATGGGCACAAGACATTGGTCCTCCTACTTAACAAAAGCATTTATTTCAAATATAATGACACTCTAATTTTATTTTTTTCCATTGCAGTAAATGACCATCTATTTATAAATTGTGGTGGTGAATCAATGCAAATAAATGGAAGTATTTATGAAGGCGATCTGAATTCAAATGGAAGTTCAACTTTCTTTCTGAGTAGCAATTCAACATGGGGTTATAGTAGTATGGGATCCTACTTAGTAACAGATGACGTATACATAGTGAATGATGGTGTTGGTAATGAAGCTCTTTACAGTACAGCACGTGTATCCCCAATCTCCTTGAAGTATTATGGATTTTGTTTAAGGAATGATGAATATACTGTGAGACTTCACTTTGCTGAATTAGTTAGAACCCCATATCTCTACAAATCAGGTCGAGTTTTTGATGTGGATATCCAGGTATATATATATATATATATATATATATATATATATATATGGTACAAATACCAAATACCAATGCAAGCATATATATATATATATATATATATATATATATATATATATATATATATATATATATATATGCTGACAAACTGGAATGTTGAAAGGTGATTATGATTGCAGGGAAAGAATGAACTTAAGGATTTCAACATAGAAAAGGAAGCAGAGGGTGTAAATAAGGCTTACACTGTGGAAATAGAAAATGTTATAGTTAACAATAATCGACTGGAGATTCACTTATATTGGTCAGGGAAGGGTTCAATGATGTACCAAGGTCCACTTATATCTGCAATTTCTGTATATATTCGTAAGTCATATATACTTGTTTATTTTGTCCTTTACCGGCCTAGTGCACCATTTCGATTGCATCATTCCTACTTTTCTTATCTGATATTTCTTGATGCCAATTCAATTCCTTCCTGATCCAGCTAAAGAGAGCGGTTTGTCTCCTCCAAAGATGGCTGCAATTTCATTATCTGTCTTAATTCTTCTAGTAGTGTTGATAGTTTATTTCTGGATGAGGGAAGGTAACTTCAACTTCTCAATGTCATATGAAGGTAACTTCAACTTCTTAAACAATTGGCTTGCAATTTCATTATCTGTCTTAATTCTTCTAGTAGTCGCCATTGCTCTGTGTTGATTATACATACTGTCCCATGCATTTATTCCATCAATTTTTGGTGTAGGAATGGTCGAGTTGTATCCTGGAGGACTTTACAACTTCCAAAAAATAAAAGTTGCTGCCAAACATTTCAAGAACAAGCTTGGTAAGGGTGGCTTTGGAACTTTCTACGAGGTTAGCTTTGCTTCAAGTAAAATGAAATTCTCTGTAACATTACATAAGTGTCATTGTAATGTTAGCTACTTAACTTGAACTCAGGCTACACTCGACAATGGAATGGTGGTTGCAGTTGAAAAGGTTTCGGCCACAAAAGATATAATACGTGCATTTCGAGAAAAGGATTCTACAATTTCTCTCATGGAACATCCCAACCTTGTAAAGCTCATGGGATGCATTGCAGAGAATAATCAATTGTTGCTTATTTATGAGGATATAGGCCATAATTCCCTTCAAAATGCACTTTTTGGTATGTAGCGTCTCTATCCATCAGCTCTGCCTTAGCGTCATATTCAAGTTTTTTTTTTTTTTTTTTTAAACAACAGTAGTTTCCTCACAGGTTCAGACAGGTCAAGATTAGATTGGCCAAAAAGGCGCAACATTTGCCTTGGCATAGCAGAAGGTCTAGCTTTTCTTCACGAGTGCAAGCAGAAAATTGTCCATGGAAATATCAAACCAACCAGAATTTTCCTTGACAAGCATGACAATGCTAAGATATCTGACTTCGGATTTTCCACGCTCCATGACCAGGGAAAGTCACGGGAGGAAGGAACAGTGTAATTATTTTCCTGGACAACCATATATATCCCAATCTTTCTCAATCTTGTAAATAAGTATACAATCAAATAGCCAATAGGCCGGTTCTCACTTGAAAGCATTCTGATGGATATGCAGGGTATACATGGCACCTGAATACGCCAAATATGACCTCTTAACAACAAAGGCAGATGTGTATAGCTTTGGAGTTGTTGTACTTATAGTTGTGAGTGGAAAAAAAGAAAAGATTTCAATGTCTAGCAGTGGGGCTGACACCGAGTACCTTCCAGATCTCGTGAGGACTCAAACTTAATTAATTATATCATTGGGTGCATGCATTGCATTGTTATCATATATATGATTGTGTGTATGATTGCAGGCAGCACGTGAAAAGCAGAGAGAAGGGCATTTTATGAATCTAGTTGACAAAACCACATCTAACACAATGGATTGGAATCAAGCAGATACAATGTTAGAACTAGCATTGATGTGCTTGAGCCAGTACCCAGATCAAAGACCATCCATGTCTCAAGTTGTGAAGGTTCTAAAGGAACAACTTCCATTGAAGGATCTAAAGGAAAGTTTAAAGCAGCATTCTTCTATCAGCACTGCTTGAATTGAAGAACAACACTGTACTACTAATCTATGCTGCTTTTCAGTTGTTCTCTTCGATCTGCTGAAATAAATGAATGGTTTCCCAAAACAATTAAGTGAGCTTTCTGAAACTCACAAGTTATGGTGTAAGCGGATTTAATTCCTTAATTTGGGAAACCATTTATTTCAGCACAACAACTCAAAACTAGCATAGATTTGTACTTAACACACCACCACTTGTGAGTTTCATAATCTGCACTGCTTTCCTATTTTCAATATTGTTTGTCTCTCCTCTCTTGCTAGTATGTTTTACTTTTGTGAAATAGTTGTGATATATGACATGCATGTACAATGCTATTATTTTATATTTTCCACTTTGTAAATTATATTGTATGTGTGTTGTGTTTCAGCAACCCTAAAATTCAAGTTATTGGTGCTTTGAGAATTGAGAATTTTTATTTATTTATTTATTTTACCATTTCATACTAATTCACCCTGCCTTTTAGAGAGTTCCTTTTAAATCTTGCTGATAATGATTTATATGTAACCTTAAATACATAGAAGGCTGTGGATAAAAAGCTTTGAAGTAGAAGACTGATCAAAGCCATCATCTTAAATTAGTTAATTGCATTTGCTGGTATACCAATTATGTACAATTGATCAAAGTCATTGAAGTAGAAGGTTGTGGATGTTGCGTTGATCAAAGTCATTGAAGCATTACCAGATTTGAATGCTTATTTGGGTGCAGTGAGCATACTTAAGTAGTATTAATTAAGTAGTATATATTTTCATGACCTTTTTTTTAGTATAGTAATAGCCCGTTGTTGGAAGTACTATGAACATGACCATAATTTTTATTTTTATTTTTTTTGTAAATAATTTTGATGTTTAAGTGTTTTTTCAATTTGAAATTTAGTGTGTCCATTAATTTGTTAATGACATATAATAATTTATTAATAACGGGTAGAAATAAAATTATGGTAATATAAAAATAATAAAAACATTCCATATGCTTTTGGGTTTTGCTACCAATAGTGGGAAGGAAAATAACAAAATATAGACAACTAAATAAATTTGAGTATTAGTAGCAGAATAGATAAACAATGATACATTAGTTTTCAAAGCCTTGAGACCAATCGAAAGTAGACAATCTTGAAGACGTTTGAACCATGCACATGGCGTTTGCTTCAAACCATTTAGAGACTTTTATAGTTAACATGAATAGGAAATTTGTTGTCGATAAACATTGGTAGTTGTTTCATGTAAACATTCACTACAAGAAAAATCACGATTCGTGACGAAATAATTATCGTCGCAATTCCGTCGCTAAACTTTTTGTTGCAAATTTCGTCTTTCCTCACAAAATCCCGTCACCAATTTCATCGTCATAATGATATCGAATATTCTGTTTCTAAAATCATATTTTGTCGCGATATTGCTAAATACTTATTTTTTTATATTTTAATAATTATCATTATTTTGACAAAATTCAAATGTTAATACATAATTATATTTATAAACAAAAACACTATTAAAACTAAAATACAATATAATTTGTAGAAAAGTAATACTACTTTATAGTTCAAAAAACTTAGGGACCGTTTACTAATTGAAAATTTTTGTAAACTGAAAAATAGAAAACATAAAACATGTTTACTAGCACAGTTTCCATTTTGAAAACTGAAAATAATTTTCCAGTTTTCTAGAAAATTGGAACATTCTTAAAAACTATTTTCTAAATGGAAAATTGAATCACCTATCATCTATTTACTTATATGTCACTATAACCACATTACTATGATTACATACATTATCATCTTATTTTACTTATCACTATCTTCTATCCTTTCTAATTACTTTACTTATTTAAACATAACTTTTTTGCTTACACTTTAAAGTTAGACATTATTTACATTATCAAAATTAAGAATTAAACTCTATATAATGTTTTAGATTTTGATTGAACTCAATGGATTATTAGTTTGAATATTTTTAATTATGTTACAACGCAATACAAGTTCGGTCCATATATCATATATTGAAATCTCACATATATTATAATTCAAAGTAAAAGTTATATATTCATATACATGTCATTCAAATGAATATATCCAAAAAAAAAAATTTAAATATTAGCTCAAAAAATATTAATATTATCTAAACTAAATTTTAGGTGAACTTAGTAGGTTATTGGTTCGGATATATTTTTTAGTTATTATGTTATATACAGATATAAATTTTGTTCAGTTATCAAATATAATGTAAAAATCTTACATATAAAATTTAAAAAAAAATATTTCATTTAAACAAAACATATGTAAAAATGTATAAGATCTAAAAATCACTCGAAATTAAACTTGTGTTAATTTTATAACGTTAATCTAAAAAAATTGAAAAAATAAGTGTTAGTAAACAAGTTTTCTAAACAGAAAAGAGAATGAAAAACCGAGAATGAAAATTGAAAATTTAGAAAACATAAAACATAGAACAGTTTTCTATTAGTAAATTGACCCTTAATATCTATACTATATATCTATCTATACTATATATAAAAATAAAATCCTCCATTTTAACTTCCCGTCCAAAATTGTCATATACTATTAAGGTTTGCGTAATATTGTAAAATAGTGTAATACAATTTCTAGTATAATATAGTGTTTCTAACTTTCCTATTCGTAGTATAATTATACATAAAAATTCCAATTCGTAATACAATACAACAATATTAAAATTCCTATTTCTATTCAACAATATTACCCAGTCACTACTCCAATCTATACTATTAAAAAAAAAATCAAAGTCCCAATAATAATAATAATAATAATAATAATAATAATAATAATAATAATAATAATAATAATAATAATAATAATAATAATAATAATAACAACAACAACAACAACAATAACAACAACAACAGTAACAGTAACAGTAACAGTAACAGTAATAATAATAATAATAATAATAATAATAATAATAATAATAATAATAACAATAAAACAAAATCCTCAATTTTAACTTCCCGCCCAAAATAGTCCCATACTATTAAGATTTGCGTAATATTGTAAAATAGGGTAATACAATTTCTAATAGAATATATTGTTTCCTACTTTTCTATTCGAACTACAATTCTACATTGAAGTTCCTATTTGTAATACAATACAACAACATTAAAATTCATATTCTTATTCAACAATATTATTTTTCTCCCAAATACTGTCCATTAAACCATTGAGCTAAGCTCGTGCGGGCTCAACAATATTATTCTGTCACTACTCCAATCTATACTATTATTAAAAATAATAATAATAATAATAATAATAATAATAATAATAATAATAATAATTATTATTATTATTATTATTATTATTATTATTATTATTATTATTATAAGTAGTATGATTAATACTAATAATAATTAGTAAAAAACTTTGTAGTAAAAAATGAAAATGAGAACTGATCCATAATTCACTGGAAAAAAAAAAGAAATGTAATTCACTTATTAATACTAATAATAATCAGTAAGCCGTAAAAAAAATAAATAAAAAAAAAAAGATCCACAATTCACTGATTAATGGAAAAGGAAACGGAATTCAGTCAATTCACTCATTAATGATAAATGAAGATCAAACCAAAAATTACTAATTAAAGTAAGTGTACAAATGATACACATTTATACACATAGTATCTTGGCTAAATTATTTGACAAAAACCTAACATTACAAAAAAAAAAAAAAACGCGAAAATAAAGATAGATTTAGCGACGGACGAATTTCGTTGCTAATTTAGCAACGGAATAGCGACAAATTAGTGACCGATTTTAATTTTTTTTTTGTTAAATGAATATTTAACGACGGATTAACGAAGGATATTGCGACGGGATATTTCAGTAGTTGAAAACGTAGCTAAATTTAGCGGTAAATGTTGGCGCTAAAAGTAAAGAAAGATTCGCGACGGAATTTTGCGCGGGACAATTTCATTATTTTAATTGGTACAGAGTAGCGACGAAAATATATTCCGTCGTTAAAGTTTTAAGAGGTATTTATTTATGCTTGCACTGTAGCGACGGATTTGCTCATCCGTAGCTAGGTAGCGACGGAATTTCTTATCCATCGCTTGATACCGTCGCTGCATTGGTAACTCAGATTTATTAATTGCGTTTATATTCTAGCGACGAAAATATATTTCGTCGTTAGAGTTTTAAGAGGTATTTATTAATGCTTGTACTGTAGCGATGGATTTGCTCATCCGTAGCTAGGTAGCGACAAAATTTCTTATCATCGCTAGATAGCAACGGAATTCATTACCTTCGCTACATTCATAACCCGAATTTATTAATTGCGTTTATATTCTAGCAACGGATTTGAAATCCATTGCTACATTTTCAATCCGGGGTTGTGCATTATAAGCACTCTAGCGACGCAGTTTAAATCCATCACAAGAATTATAAGCGGGATATTAATTTCTGAATTTTTTTTTAATATGTAGCAACGGAATTTAGTTACCGTCACTAGATAGCTACGTATATGGATATATGTCGCTAGAATTTGCAATAGATTACTTTTTATGCTCATCAGACAACCTCTCTACCTAAAACCTGTACCTCACAAAACGCTAAATCTGAACATCAACGTAAAAATAGGATGGGTGAGGTAGCAGAACCTGGTACGGGATGTTCTCGACATACCGGAGGATCTAGATCAACTATTGAGCACATTTACACATTGGTAATACATTTAACATAAAAAATTATTATTTGTATATATTTTACGGATTTAAGTATCATTTTATTGTTTGTGTTTGTTTAATAGCGGGATAAACTTCAAAAGGAGCATGATCTGTTTGAGTGCTTTGCGCATACGCACCAAAAGAAGGATAATACATTCGTTGATGAGAGGTCAAAGAAAAACGATGTAAGTATAACCTAACAACCGTATATTGTTAAATAGATAAAATTCTTATATGCCTTTATATACTTATCTTATTTTGTATATGTTTTTAATTTTAGGACCAAATACAAGCACGGCGTGGTGCTACAATGCAAGAGGCGGAAGGGTCAACTGAGCCACCAGTTATAAACATGTCACAGATGTATGTGGATGTTGTTGGTGGGGTAAAAAAGCAGCGTATTTATGGCTTAGGGACTAAGTCATCTACATTTATCAGCGGGAATAGCTGTAGTTCAGCTGCTACTTCACAACTTCAACAAGAGGCAATGAAGGAGAAGGTGAACCAATAGTTAGAGACCATGCGAGTTGAGATGGAAACAAAACTACAAGCTGAAAGAATTGAGATGGAAGCTAAACTACAAGCTGAAAGAACTCAAATGCAGGCTCAAATGCAAGCTCAAATTGCAAGTTTGATGGCTGAGTTACGTCGCAACGGCATGCTATCCAATCCAAGTACTCAAGCTCAACATTTGGCTAATTCAAATGATGAAAACTTAGGAGATGATTAGATTATGTTTATTAATATATTTGGTACTAA